AATGCGCGTTTGGATCACGATGTCACATTTTCCAACTTCTGTTAAAACGCTTTCAAAATATCTTAACTTCTGCAATACCTTGGTGTTTATCTTTATACTTCGTACCTCGCATATTGGGCTTTTTTTTTCTCTTGCTGATGACCGTACATTCATTGGTCTGGCAGTTGAACTTTAGTTCTTTTTTTCTCGCTTTTTTCTACCACACTGTCTATGTTGTAAAACATATTCCCATAGTTGTGTCTTTTTCTATACAAGCCTTAGCCATCAAAATCGAATCATCTCTATAAGTGGTCGAGAATTTCAATGACAAACCCAACATTTCAGCCGCTCATATGTTAAAATCGACGGTCGAGTCCACTCCTTTGTAATTAATAGATAAAGAAAATAAGATAGTATTTTCTAAATAATATAATACCCAAGCTATTTAGATAATCTGTGCGGTTATTTAAACCATAGCTATTTAGAGCGAATATACCCACCCATGCTTTTTTCGAGTACATTAGTGAAAAATAGTCATATTATCCGTTACAGGAATTTGGACTCGACCAGCTATTATCTTTAACCTCCAATAATAGTTACTGAAACGTACACAAAGGAAAGAATACGAGCCTTCAAAGTACATTTATTGCACTAGTAGTATTGCACTAGGAGGGAAACTATCTTCACATAGACTTACAAAGAATACAATGTCTGACGCCCTGTGACCATTATATAGGAATCGATGAAGCATAAAAACGTATTCATTCACTCCTTCATTCATTCGCTCTTTGGAGGTAGGCGTCACGTTCGTCTTAGAAGCCCCGCGTTTAGCGAGCTCGTCTTGTTGTTAAAAACCTCTGGATCGATAAGGTCATTATTGATTGGCTGGTGAAGACATTGGTTCCCGACTTGCTTCTGTCACTCTAAACATGACTCAAGTACGGAAGTGAATCTTCAGTGGCACTTTTGCATATTCAGTTCAAAACCAAGCTCGGTCTATGAGAAATATTTATATATTAGAAATCATATTGTCATTGGATGATAGCTACATATCAGATAGTACAGAGTATTCTTTTCAATGGTATGCATTTTGGCAGTACATCTTATATCGATGATAACTTCTATTATTGTGGACATTTAGTTCATGAATGATTATGGCTCTCCACACATTCCTGTGCCTCGTAGCTTCAAGTAATATTTTAAGATCACTTCAGGTTTCTCTTCTACACAATTAAAAGTGAACTGCATTCGCAAGTGGTCTTTTTACAAGCCGACCATTTTTTTATTTTTATAAATGTTGCTGTAAAAACACCTTCATTAAAACAAAATTATCGTCACTGTATATTCATATCCTAATAATATCTACTAGCTCGCTATCATCAAAATATGTTTAAATTTTCGATAATTAAAGGAAAAAAAAGACTGCCCACAGTTTCTAAAATAAATATCAAATAATACACAAGCTCCCACGGTAAGTTATTTGCTAAACTTTAAAAATACCCTGTAAATTTTAAATTCGGCACTTTTATCACATTTTTATGAAAAATTCCCCGTTTCTCACCTGATATTTGCAAGATGCTTCCAGAAAACGTCATCACGTTTCCTCTTTATCTTTAATTAAACAGTCTGTCATTATCTTCCATAAAAGAGGATGGATATTAGGGTGCAGGTCTGCTCTCTTTTCTCGGTTTCTAAATAAATCTTCCTGGTTCTTAATACAAGTTAACCCCGCAAAATATACCTACTCTTTAAATGACAATAGGTGCGGTGTTTAGTGATTTCCAAAAGGCGTCGGAGAGCCGAGTTCGAAATTCAGTCGAATCCATTATATTCACTTACGTTCTAATACGCTTGGGAATGGTATGAATTCTCTTCTTCTCCCCACTCTCAGCTATGAATAAATAGCAGGACTAACTAGGTTCTATAACCGTGGATGGCAACTGGTCTACAGTATAAAGAAATGGCAACCTATTACTGAAAAAAAACTGCCTCGTCAGTCATGTATCGAAATAAACATGATCGCCGAAATGTGTATCACGCATAGTACACAACTGACTGTATGTTTATTGAATAACAAAGAATATTACCAGATTAAATTACATACTAAATGATATTAAATGCATGTTTATAAATAGTCAAAAAGTGGCGATATGTTTGGGGGTCACGTTTTATTTTGTTTATCTTTTGAAAGGTAGTATTCGCTATTCGAACGCGCCTTCGGATTTCCGTGTCATATTTTCCTCTGTTTGTTTAAAAATATCGCTTATTGATCGATTTTGATTTTTCTAATTCGTAGATTATATTTTGTGGTTGACCTCATTCTAATGACCATATGCTAGGTTGGTCAGAATGTCCAGACTCAGTTAGGAAGCGGAAAGAAAACAACAAAAATTGATCTCAGTCTGGGAGAATTTCCAAGGAGCCCTGTATTTTGAGCTTGTTCTACATGGTTACGCCATCAATGCTAAATTGTATTGCCAGCAGCTGGACAAGCGCGTACGACTAACTAAATGTGTATCGGGATTGTTTCAGCAAGACAACGGGAGGCCACACACTGCCAGGTTGATTAAGGAGATGTTCAAACAGATGGACGGTGTTGAGATTCTTCCACGTCCACCATTCAGTCCCGATGCTACTCCGTGTGACTATAGCCTATTCCGCTCAATGGCACACTTCCTCCGCGAATAGAGATTCAACAGTTTTGATGAAGTGAAGAAAGCTTTTTTACATTTTTTTTTTATTCAAAGCCAGCGGATTGGTATCTGAGACAGATTCGGATGCTGGTTTAAAAATATCCCTTAATGCTCGATTTTGATTTTTCTAATTCGTAAGTCGTATTATGTGGTTGACCTCATTCTAATGGCTATGTACCACGTTGGTTAGAAAGGTCAAACTCATGTAGAAAGCGGAAAGAAAACAACAAATCATGATCTCTGTCTGGTAGAATTTCCAAGGAGCCCTGTATTTCGAGCTTGTTCTACACGGTTGCGCCATCAATACTAAATTGTATTGCAGCAGTTAGACAGCGTGTACGACAAACCAAAGAAGGTGTATCGGGCTTTTTTCTGCAAGACAATGCGAGGCCGCACAATGACTAAAGAGAAGTTCAAACAGATAGACAGCATTGAGATTCTTCCACGTCCACCAAGTAGTCCCGATGCTCCTCCGAGTGACTATGGTCTATTCCGTTGATTGGCTGACTTCCTCCGCGACCAACACTTTTGATGAAGTGAAGAAAACTTGTTTACAGTTTTTTTTTTATTCAAAGCCAGCGAACAGGTATCTGGGAACGCTTCAGATACTGGCTGATTGCTAGCAGAAATCGTGGAGAATGAGGGATTAATTTTGAAGAGTGAACGTTGATGTTTGTCCCTTAAGTTTTTTTTTTGTTTTTTTTCGACTCTTAAGTGATTCAAAACTTTCTGGCCAAAATAATATTTTGATTGACATATAAATGGTGACTACTTTCTTCCACCTTTATTTGCTACCATGTTTATCCTGAACTTTCTGGAGTTTTATTTCTGTGTCTGGTATTAAGATCGTTTCAGCAACGCATATTATGCTTTTGATTCTGCATATGCCAATGGTTAAACATATATTCTCTTGATATCGCCTTGCTGTAAAATTTAAGTTCTGGTAGCAGATCTAAATAAATGATTGATATTCTGTTGCTAATAGTTGCAAGTATTGTTTTGTTAATTTTAACGCCCCTAACACTAAACTGTTCTTCATTAATCGTCTGAGAGAAAACATTCTGCCTTATGGCTGATGCTAACCTTAAGGACAGTGATTAATTGCGTCTTCTCGGGTTAACGTTTTCTGCTTACATGAAGTGGAAATATTATATTGAAACAATTTCTAGCTCCGCTGCTAGGAAAACTGGTTCACCGTGTCGTGCTAGACAACTTTTATCCTCCCATATCTATCTTACGTATTTATATATCTACCATTTGTTCATGCTGCGAATATCGTTGCTACGTGATCGAGTCCTCCTGATATACATTGGGTTGGTGCATAATTATCAGGCGATTTTGTTGGCGAGTTATTTGTTAATAAATTGCTCCTGTGTTTACTTTTTAATGAAAATATTTTATTTTCAGATTATAGAAAAGCCTGTCGATAATCATACTCATTTAAAAATGTTATTGTTGAATAGTTGGGTTTCTTTTTTCATAAAAAATATTATTTATGAAAAACCTGATAATTATGCACCAACACGATACTTAGAGATTCTTGATAAAATGCAAAAAAAAAATATCTGGAATACCTGATCTGGTATCTCGGCTTTAGTCACTTTTCCACCTCCTTAATGTAGCCTCTCTCTGACTTTTCTATAAAAATTTATCTGGTCTTCTTACTTCCTTTTCTGGCTGAAGTTGGGAAGCTAGGTTAGTACCAATGATTATAGTGTCTAATGGTAACCTTTTTTACGTAATGATACGAATGTTACTAATTACAATGCATCGCTACTTGATGATGGCGTGACTACAGAAGAGTCACTAAAATAAGCAAATAACTGAACACATCGACCAGTAGATGTCAATAGTTTTCCTGTTTCGAAACTAAATTATTTGTTAAGAGATGTGGAATCTAGTTGAATTAACATCGGGTTCAAATGATATGTGGCGCTTGTGAGCTCAAATTTTATTTTTGTTAGTGTTGGAACGTTATATATTCTGGTTCAGTGGAGTAAATGGACAGGCAACATAAAGGCAAAAGAAATTGAGTAGAATGACCAGATCGAGATCCTCACTAAGCATGGGGAACGGAATGCGAATAACCGACTCTGTTGATTGAATAAAATGTTCATTTCGAAATCACGAGAAGGCTGCAGTATACGACAGACAACGAAAATGGTCGTTGGTTGCGAAGTCAGAAACGATTTTAATATAGAAATTAACAATATCAATGAACAGACACAACATATATATATATATATATATATATATATATATATATATATATATATATATATATATAGAGAGAGAGAGAGAGAGAGAGAGAGATTACAATGAACAGACTGGAACAGATAGAGAGATAGCAATGAACAGACTGGAACAGATAGATATATATATAGATAGATAGATAGATAGATAGATAGATAGATAGATAGATAGATAACAATAGAAGACTGGAGCAAATAGATAGCAATGAAGAGACTGAAACAGATAGATAGATAGATAGATAGATAGATAGATAGATAGATAGATAGATAGCAATGAACAGACTGGAGCAGATAGATAGATAGATAGATAGATAGATAGATAGATAGATAGATAGCAATGAAGAGACTGGAACAGATATTATTTTTATGTCATGTTTCTTCAACGTCTAGACAATTATGGCTCTCTCTCTAATTTATTTGTTTTATTCTCATCTTGCAATAAGCATAACTTTAGGGAAAAAATAGTAGATTACTAGACGATTGTGAATTCCGAGATGTACTTTTATATTTTAATAAACTGTCTTTCTGTAATGAATACTATCCTAGAAATATAAAGATCTGCCTGCGCCGGTATTTAACACATAGGATATATTCTTAAGAGTACAGATAAATTTATGCTTTTATCAATGACATTTGTGCATAAGTGAATGCAACAATCCAGACATGAATGTGAACACCGGTCGCTGATTCAGCTTCCTTCTCTCAGCAGCGTTATGATACACGCTCAGTCTGTCTACCAGTTCGAAAGAATAAGCATAGACAAAAGCTAATTCCTCTTCCAAAAATCTGACATAAATATTTTTCTTTATTTTTACTTTACAGCGAAAGCTCAAGAGATGACGATTAATTTTTCATTACCCTTTACTATCTGATCATCCAAACGCAATAATAACAGCTGACAATACTTTTAAAGAATCAATAATAATAAAATTCACAAAAAATGAAGTAAAAAATATTCGCGCTACAATGATGATCATGTTATGATGTGCTGTCTCCCTTCAGTACGTGAGATATCTTTGCTCTGTAAAACATTTGATCATATGATTATTTTTGATTAAGTGCAATAAAAGAGAACTGATATCCTAAGGTAGTGCTTACAGTGAGTCAGTTTTCGCAATATCAAATTTATATTTCATAAATTCGTGTATTTTTCCTGTATGACCTCACCTTATATAAGTAAAACAGCCTGTATCACTACAATATATATATATATATATATATATATATATATATATATATAGAGAGAGAGAGAGAGAGAGAGAGTCATCCACAGACAGATTGTTTTGATGAATCGTAGCTCATCCGTGTAGCTAAACATCTGATGATCTTTCCCCTAAACTATCGGCGCACGGCAGAGATAAGGTAATCTTAACGCTTTATATACGAAATATATATAACTGACAGTAGCCAAGAAAGTTCATTCGCAAGAAATGTACTCTTAAGATGTGCTATATTCATGGGATGCTGTACTCAATATCAGAAATAGAGCATGTGTAAATATTAAAGACAACTTTAAAGTCAATATATATATATATATATATATATATATATATGTATAATTTCAAGCTAAATGAGCTAACTGTAGTACGAATACTTACCGCTACTGCTACGTTTTTAGAATATAAAGCCCTTTGAAATTGGCTAAGCTAGATTTTTGTCGGAATTGGATTTAGGTGTCATTTTCAGAGTTATATTTCCAGAAATTTCCAATATCGACTAATATGTATATACATAACAACTTATGTATAATGACAGAAAATATCATTTCAACAAATGAAGGCCATGCGGATGTTGTCATGGGTATAGTACATTCATATTAGAGTGCATGTTAGACTTGTGGACTGCATGTGGAGATTCTATTCACTGCCTCGCCATTGTAAGAGTCGCCCATATGGCTTCTGTATGAAGGAGTATTTTTTCCCGGGATTACATTGCTAGCGGCATACCCAGCAGATTTTAAATTTAGAACTATCCTTCTCCAAGACTGATTGCTAGTCAGAGAGTTCGGTATACCCTGTTATTAACCTCAATCAGGATGTCTGATAAGGAGTAGTTATTTTTCAAGCTTATCTACGCAAAAGTGAACTTAATACATGGAATTTGAGCTCGCTAAGTTTCATCCCACTTTCCGAACCCATAATCGCTACGCTAGGATTCTGTCCATATTTCTGACATCAGGTATTTTAACTATTTACACTACATTTTCGGACTGTTGTCCCTTATCTTTATTTCCCTAGTCCCGACGATTCGGCTGTTGTATTTCCGGCCTACTCTAAGTGATTGGAATTTTGAATCAAAATTTTATTTTTTGCAGCGGGGTAGATTGTTCTGGTTCCACATGACGTGCCTCTCCCGGATAACTCAGTTTCAGTCATTTCCTTTTTAGTAACTCAAACCTACAAGTTTATGTCCACCTCTTCTGTGGCCAGATATTGAACTCACAACTCCTTGCGACAAGTCAATGGAGTACTTCTACCAACGTTTTTATTCGAAATTCCAATCACCTGAACGTCATGAATGTGATATCAAAGATGATGACAGTCTGAATAATGTAAATAACGCAAGGATAGTTGGTTCCCTGTGTCACGCCAGAAGGTTCTTCTCGCCGGAGTCCATTATTCAAATCTACAAATCAACCATTCGTCCTTGCATGGAATATTGCTGACATATATTGTCTGGTCCTCCCGCTGTTCCTCTCAAGGTTTTCAACAAAATACACTGACGGATATGCAACGTGGTTGGTCCTCATCTGGCATCCCGTCTAGAGTCGCTATCTTACAGACGTGTTGTGGCTCTCCTCTGTCTTTTCTACAAGTACTTTCATGGCAACTGCTCCGACGAGCTACTTTCACTTGTTCCCAAACTGTATGAATTCAAGCGCGCTACTAGATTGGCATTTCACTCCCAAACATTCACTGTCGAAACTGCTAAATATAGCCATCTCTTCTACTCCAATAGCTTCTTATCTTGCACCTCCGTCAGTGGAACTCCCTTCTTCTTACTTGCTTCCCTGATAGCTATAATCTTCAAATATTCAAATGTCATGTCAATCGACATCTTCTGATGCCTTGACCTTGATCCCCGTCCTTCTCTTTATCCTTTTCCTAAACACTCCTCTTTACTCTTACTCTCACTCTCTGTAACCCCTTGCGTGCTAGTGGCACTCTTCCGTGCTTGGGCCGAATTCCTTAAAAGCCAAAAAAAAAATAGAAATTATGTTTGGCCATGCTCTGGCGTATGGGATTTCGAAATGGTACAAAATCTGTGTCCGATAAGAATCATTGTGTTAAAATACCCACGAGGATTCTTTTGTTCAGCTGAAATTCTTTTTTATATATATATATATATATATATATATATATATATATATATATATATATATATAGAGAGAGAGAGAGAGAGAGAGAGAGAGAGAGAGGTAGGTAGGTGGATTAATGGATAGCGGCTTGGATTGAGGAATCGGAGAGGCGAGTTCGAATTCCAGTCGAATCCATTACATTCGCTTACGTGCTAATATCCTTGGAGAAGGTGTGAATCCTCTTCTTCTCTTTAATAGTAAATAGCAGGACGGACTGGGTTCTATATAGCCTTGGATGGCAACTGGTCTAGGACAACTCTGAATTCAGAACCTGTGGAGGGTCGTTTGGTTTAGTGTAGTGCACCAGGTCTCTGTATTTGGCCATACAAAAAGTGTGGATGGTTCTGCACGAAACCTTCACCACTATAATCAAATCTCGTCTGCTGTTTTCGAGCTATCGGTTTCCTAGGAATTGATTTGCTTGACCCTCATACGTCGAATTCAACGGGAGAGTCTAGTATATATATAAGTAAACATTGACGTCAAAAGCCGACAGACTGTGTCATGCTATACGCAATCGTCAGGCCACAATACTGTTTTTTCCTCGGCTATTTATATATACACTATAAAAAAAATATATATATATATATTATATATATATATATATATATATATATATATATATATATATATATATATATATATATATATAAGATATTTAAAAAATATTGTTGAAAATTTTTAAATTGCTATATATAAAAATTGTTTCTGTTGAAGTTTTTCATTTTAAATTCATCGCATTCGTATGAAAAAGATTCCTGTCTCACTTCACAAAATTCAGCCGCATGCCAGAAAGCCTACAGCTTTCGTAATAAGAATTCTTGTCGTATGCTATTACACATTACTACAATAATTTAATTGAACGAGGACTGAAAACTAATTCTGGAATTATCTAAGTACTTTATTAATTTTTTCTCGTCATATGTGATGTATTCTTTCAGGTCGTTGACGATCATGGCTCTCCACTATTTATTGTACTTTGTAGCTTCTAATACATTTTGTAGTTTTTGTTCCCTCGTATATCTTGATCTACCATCTGTTTACTCATGGACGCTGGCTGGGTTATGCATCGTTTCCATCTATCTATAATCTGTCCTGCGAGTATCAAAATTTCCAAGCATTCTTTCCTTAGCGATCTTGATTAAATGTGTTGCGGATCAATTCTCAGGATAGATTACCAAAAGACAAAATGTATTAAGAGCTACAAAGAAATAAAACGGAATTGTGTGAAAGGACACAGCACATAGAGATTGTAACTTCTATCACAACTTTTCTTTGTTCGTTGAATGTATATTTGTCTAGGCTATGTTAAAGTCAAGCAAAACTAAATCTTACTTCAATGAGGTACTCACTCCACTGACTGAATATGTTAGTTTCACCAACATGACTGACCATTACATCTTCCATATGCATTAGCCGTTTGACAGAATCTATCTACTGAGATTTGTCCAGATCGGTCCAAAGGTTTCCCATTTAACACGTCTAGACAGCAGCGGATTTGATACATCGAAAAGGATGGATTATCAGGAGCCTACATTGATTTAAGAGATAATTTACGATAGCTGCACTGCGTTTCAGCTTTTTATTTATTTATTTATATTTTTTTTTACATATATCGCTTTATTTATGGATATAATTCTGATCTGTGACCAAACATATCGCTTCAACAGGACAACGCTATTTGTGTCACACACACTGCGACATGTGAGAATTCTTCGATTGCTGACTTCAAAGTTGTCATTCTGCTAATTCACTGGCATATCAAAGAATCTATAGAAAGACATCTAGTTACAAACAGCCGTGTGATCCATCAGCAAGCAATACCCATCAAATGAAACGCTAAAGCCGTACAAATCGAACTTCAAAAGATCAAATTAATCGAAGTTGCGGACGCCTAGAAGTAAGGAACGGAGAGGATGTGTCAAAATTAATTACTTTAGCCGGTAAGAACCATTTATTTCAATGGTTTCGACGTTAAATTACTAGCTCAAATCACACATCGCAAACGTGCGAAGTCAATGATTTTTAAAGAAATTTATTATCAGAATATTAAATATATTTGCAACTCGTGGAAAACTTTCCCCTACTTACTGTGACATTTTGATTGATAACATTGAACAAACACACACACGTACAAACACACAGACACACGCACACACACGTATACACACGTACACTCACACAAACATATATATATATATATATATATATATATAATGCATTTTCTTTACGAAGATTTTACGAATGTGCAGGCCAATATAATACACACTATTTAATAAACTTGTCTGTTTCAAACACTATATATATTCATTATATTAACATTTAAAGTAGAAATAATAACAATAATAATAATATTAATAATAATAATAATAATAATAATAATAATAATAATAATATGTATGTGTGTGTATACACTTCCTTACCAATAGACTTTTATGCCAGAATGCAATCTTCAGGCCATGTGTTCAATCTCAATTTTATATATATATATATATATATATATATATATATATATATATATATATATATAATCGGAATTCAGAGCAGCATGAATCCATCCAGCTCTTATCTTAAATAACAACTTAAAAGAGACTGTTTAACCAACACAAAGACTGACCA